TGTGAGTTATCTAAGGAACGATGTATAATTTTGGATACATGTCAAAGCTAGTGGGAACATAAGTGTTATGCTAATAATTGTCATGTTAGTGGGAGCATGATTATTATGTTAAGTTTTGCAAGTTAGCAATGTTAATTATAAAAAACAAAAATTTCAATTTGCAAAGTTCCAGGGTTTGAAAAGTTGTTTTTCTATAATTAAGGGAGAGGAAATTATACTTCATTCCAATTCTAAAAGCTTAGATTGAGATTTTAATCAAATTTAGTCAATATTACATTATTTGCGTTCTAAAATTCGATTATGATTATGGCATCCCTTTCATATTTCGAATTATGAGAACATGGAAAATTATAAAAAATATCGTAGCAAAAGACTTGTCTAGGATCATGTATTTATGTGAGAAATCATGAATCGTGTCCCATATGCTTTGGGTATAGGATCGATTACATGTGCTATAATATTTATCCTTTCTAAATTTTCCAAATGCCTAGGGCATTAAAAGGCGAAAAGGTCTAGAATTGGATATTAATAAAATGATTAATAAATTGTCGAGGACAATCAGATGTTTACCAAAGATTGGTTGCTCATGGACAGTTGGAACTTAATTTTTGAAAGGACCATATTGACATATTCTGAAAAGAGGCAACTCTTGTTCAGTAGTGATAGTCAAAATGGGAATGTGGAAATGTTTCCACAGGTGGAAGCTATTCATTAAATCTATGTAAGATTAGAAAACTTAATGCAAGAAGTATGTTCAAAGGAATGTACTTTGAATGTGAGAGTTCGTTTCCATGGAATTGATCTTTATTGGAATACTCTGTAATCTATGTTGACAAGTCTTTGTAACTTTGTGCATAGTCATTACAAGAGGATCAATGCATATAAGTTTAGAATCTAACAGATTTTGGTAAATGGCAGGAATTTGGAATTCTTACATTTACGATAAGGATTGGGATTGTGAAATGAGCATCATTGGTATCATGTTCAATTGGTCTATTTCACAAAGTAAGGATCATAGACAAACATAGTGTGCTTATGTGGAGTATGGCATAACTATTGTTTGGACAAACATAGTCTGCATGCTTGGAGCATGGAATGACAATTGTTTCAGATTCGAGTATAAAGTTGATTATTCGAAACATTATACAATGAATAATGAGTAATCAATATGGTGATTAAATAAAAAGTGTTTTATTTACTCTCAAAGGTGTTTGGGGCCATATAGGATTAGTATTATTCTTGTATTTCACTTTGCATGTTTTGACTTCCCGAATAACTAAGTTATTCAAACCATCCATAGTCAATCATACTTTGGAAGTAGGTATTGAGGCAAGACTGTCATGAATGGGTCTGTAGTTTGTCTAGGTGGCCTAGACATTCCTGTAGTATTCATGAGTGCTCCTGGAATAAGATTCGAGTATTGGATTAAACCCACACTCACTTGACTCACTTCATGGATTTTATCACGAGTGATCATGAGACAATAATATCTTATATTCTTCAAACAGAGAGATATGAATTGCAGTCTACAAGTCGGTTGCACATTGATAATGTGAAAACGCACCAGTTACTTGGTGTTATAAAACGCATTGTTGTGTGTGATTTGGTGCGTAAACAGAGCAATCATATGGGTCAAATTTTATCCATTCCTTTTACCCTTAGAGGGATAAAAGCGATATCTGTGGGCCGATCAATGATTTGGTGATGACAACCGTAAGTGCTCACAAATCAAAAATCTGGAAACAACAGATGGATAGAGAGTATGATTATAATCCATGTCTCAGTCCATATGATATCTAGAATGGAGGAATATATGACCCCTTATCTAATGGACACGTCATTGATTAGGTCAGAGTTCGATAGCAGCTTTTAAGAGCTACGATCGCTAGTCGGGATTTTAGAGTCGTACTTGTAATAATAGTTTTAGGCTTATCCAAGTGGGAGACTGTTGGATTAGATTTTTAAGCCCATAACTATTATTGGTATGTACTCCACCTGAGAGTAGCATGGTCCATTTGGGTTGCATAACACCAGGACAATTTGTTAGGATGGACTCTTGAGAGAAGGTTATATATGATTTATTAGTATATTATAAGTTCTAATATATTAATATGAAATCATATGTTTTAATTAGTATTGATCGAGAATTAATTTCGAATTAATTTAGTGATCAAAAGAGACTAATTAAATATGTGGGGACTAATTATGTTAATTAGTTATATTTATATGTGTTGCGCTTATGATTCATGTTGGACCAAGTTTATGTATGGACAAATAAAGAGTTGGGCCACATGAACCATGGATCATAACACCCATGGGTATGGATTTGGGTTATACCCATGACCTTTAGAATTCCACATATAAATATGTTACTTCATAGCCAAAATCACCACCAATGTATTCTTGGAGGATATGGATAGTTTGGTGAGGCTAGGATTCTCTCTCAAGAGTCACCTTTGTTCTAGGTGAGTTGTGATTCCATTTGAGGTGCAATACTGGGGCACTAATTTCTTAAAGGCCAAAGTCTTTCTAGCAACACCAAATACATCAAGACTTCAAGCCACATAAAAGGTATGTTACTCTAACTAGTATCTTGTATTGTTTATGCCAAATTGCATGCTAGTTATAAGTTTAATACCTTGGAAACACCTTTGCATGTATAATTAGTGAAAACATAGATCCAATATATTTAGGGTTATATGTGCACGATAGGATGTTAAAGTACACAAAACCCAACATGGTTCTCTAGTGAACTTCATTTAAGATCTTCGGTCACATAGAAACACCGATAAAGAGAGGTACAAAAGAAGGGAGTTAGATGGTGGTAACATCAATGGTGGTCACGGGTTAGAAAAGAGGGAGAGAGGGAGGGGAAGAGAAATAGAGAGGCACCATTTAAAAATTTAATGAAAGAGGGGGAATATTGTCTTTTCGTATTATATTTAAAAGAAAACTAACGGTATTAGCAGTAAAGACCATTTGTGGGCAAGGTTTGCTCCGTAGGGACCATCCATTTTGTAACACCCTATTTCAGGTCGTTTTATAATTCGAGGCTGTGACCCGAACATCAAATATTATAAGTCTTCGAGCTTTAGTAACGAGAGGTTCAGAACCATTTGGATGTAGGTAATGTAGATTGTGCGATCCAAGAGTTCGGTTTGTGCTTTGGTGTTAAAGGGTAAAATGGGAAAGTAGTGTTTCAGACTTCTTTTTTTTATGAATTATGGATTTTGGTTCGATGTGTTTTAAGTCAAAAGTAATTAGATATGGTTGTAGAGCTCCTCAATACCTTTTTGTGGATATAAAATCATTGAAATCAGATTTGAAACGAAGAAGTTATGACCGCTTGATGTTTGGACGATTTTGGGTTAAGTTGAGCAAGTTGGGCGTACATGGGGGGGGGGGGGTACGTTGGGAGTACTTGATGGATTTTGGTCATAAGACATCCTATGTGCTCATACAAACCCTAATGCTTGGATCTAGGTTTCTCTATAGTACATGCTTTGAATACAAGACTATAAACCCTAATTCTAGTATATGAAATCGATATTAACATATGAATAGGTTTAAGAACATACCTTGATTGTTATTTAGTAATAACAATCCTAAATCTCTTTGAATTGACTTTGGAATGCTTAGAGTCACAAGTGTCACTCCTCTAATGGCTTACAAACACCAAGAGCAAATGGAGAAGGTATAAAGAGAGAGGAGAGAGGTTAGAATTCGTCCTTAGGACTTCTTGGGAACAAGTACACAAATTCTAAGGCCTTAGGGTCTTTATATAGGTGTAGAGATAGGGTTTCAGTCATTATCCTTATCTAGTTGCTTATCCACAAAGCAACCATAAGATAAGCCTTGAAAACCCTTATCCTTTATCCTTTGGACGATTTCAAGGATCCTTATCTCCTTGAATTCGTTCAACCCATATTTAGGATAACCATTACCATATTTTGTAACTATCACATAATTACAATTCAGCCCCTCTAGTTTAATTAATTACACTTGATCACAAAATTAATTCCTAATTAATTATTGACCAATATTAATTAAGAAAATATGATTTCTCCTTTAATATATTATTCTTATAACATATTAAGAAATCATAATAACCTCTCTATCTTTATTTATTTCTCCAATCAAGTTGCTTTGGTGAAGGCAACCCAAAAGGACCATGCCCTATCGGGTCAAGTACATACCAAAATAGTTATGGACATAGACACTAATCCAACAGTACTAGGGTATCCTGAGTATGCTGGGCACACGCAATCAGTGCCCAAATACTATTTTTTGGTTTGATCCCTATTTAATCTTCTTAACTCCCCCAAAACCATTCCATTCTCAACTTCCACCTCTCTAACACCCTCCCACGAAACCCTAACCCTAATTTGAGTCTTGTGAGCTAAAGGGTGTTTGTGAGTGTTGGTTGTATTGGAGCTTGTAGATACGAACTTTTTTCACCTTGATCTCTCTTCTAGAGGTATAAAGTTTGAATCTTGATGATGCATTCGCTACTAGAAAAACAACCTTTTACGACGCAAAATGCATGTCATAAAACGCACAAGAAGCGTAAAAGTGCCTCAAGGAAGGCCCTGTCATAACGAGAGAGGACACGCTTTTGCGCGGCGTAACCATACGACGCACATTTATGATGCGCGTTTATGACGCACAATGCGTGTCAAAGAAGACCATGTCATAAAGAAGATGACACACATTCACGTGTCGTAAAAATATCCACATTTACGACTTACATTGCGTATCATTAAAGCCCATGTCATAGAGAAAGACGACACACATTTTTGCGTGTCATAAAGTTTAAATTTTTTAATATATATATATATATATATATATATATATATATATATATATATATATATATCATTCAAATGTTAAATAAAAACAATACATTGCTAACATGGGTTATACATTCCTATAAACGTAACAACCCTCGGTGATCTTGATCTAGATTAAGGTTGACTTGGATTGATGGCGAAGATTGGATTTTAGATACACAACATGATTACTGACCTAAGACCTTGTGCAACAAGTGCATACCATGCCCTATTTCCAACAACCACCACACGTTTTAGTGTCTCAAGGGCTAGTATACTTCCTCCCTGCCATCCAATAGATTTCATTAACAATGGATCCACCTGTAATTTATTTAAAAAAACAAGGTCAAAACTGAAAACTAAGTATGCCCTCGCTCCCTTTTCCCCTTAACATAGGTAAATAATGATGTCTATCCGGATAAAGCTTGTTCCTTTTCTAGACTGTAAGAGGATTTTGATTGAGTCATTAACTCCATTAAGTCAAAATGAAATAGATACTAAGTATGCCCTTGAATATGAGCCATCCTTTCATATAATATTTTTATAACAAATCAATAGAAGCTTTTTTTTTATAACAAATCAACCAACCATACCAGTCATATATAGATTATTATAATAAAAACAAACAAACAAATTTACACGATACAATGAGTTAAGAATATCAAATCTGCTTACCAGATGTTCTAGAATCCCGCATTAAACTACAAGAAATATGTAAAACAGAATGATGAGGGTGAGAAGGGTAATTAAGTCTTTCACAATCAACTTTATTTTTGTTTAGCCTAAAAGAGAATACATGTTCTTTTACTAAGCCTTGTTCAACCATATTGTACCTGTAAATTGTCATTAGAAAAAGACTGTGGTTAACCAGAATGTGAAAACAGACTTTTTAAAATAGTTGATCCAAATTCAGATGAGTTTTTACCTGACTGTGGTTAACCAGAATGTGAAAACATACTTTTTAAAATTATGTAGTGGCCAAAAGAGTAACTATATCAAAGCATAAAACAAAACTTATAATAACAAAATCAAAATCCAAAAAGAAGTTTGCTTTGAAATTTGATAGGAAAAGAAAATGAGAGACATGGTTAACATAATCATTCTCCTCAATAGCATCCAAGATAGTTTGATACAACACCAACGATGACCACACCTGCAATCACAAAGCCTGAATTAAAAACAGACAATTTTATTTACTTTTTTGGGATAAATAATGGAGTAATAGAGATTTGAAATTTAAATATGAACATACCGACCATTGGTTATCTTTGTCAAGCTTGGAAGCTCCTTCTTCGGCTTGATTGAAGTAAAACCTAGCCCGGTTAATCTTCCCTTTCATGAATTCTCTCCAATTATCAGTCACTCTTCTTGAGTAAACATCATCATCACATAGTCCATATTGGGCAAGCTCATCTTGAGGAAGATACACTCTACCTCTGAATGCACTGAAACAAAATGAAATGTAATTATGAACAAGATAAAAGGTAGACTCAAGTATGTGTAGAGGCTCTATTATGTCATGAAGTTTACAACAAAAAGAGTTAATGTATTTGTCATAAATGAACATGATTAGACTGAGGGCATACTTTAGCTAGTAAGCTTAAACCCATAACATGTGTATGAGTAGAAAGAAACAGACATCAGTTACTTCATTCTATGTAATGCAAAAGAAAATAAAGGGCATAAATGTAAATTCACTTAGGAGCAGTAAAAAGCTTTAAGTTTAAGATAAGGTTAAGATTGCATAAAGAGACACTAACAGGCTTCTTTTTTTACCTAATAGAGTTAATGGGTAAAGCACTTAATCTACATAACTTTATGGGGCAATTTCTTTTTCATGTTTGTACTGTAAACATTAGGTTACTCCTCTTCAATTCAGTTGGTTTCTTGTAGGAAAAAAGAATGGAATTAATTTTTTTGTTTAATTTTAATAGCAAAAAGTGAAAGATGGAAGAGTTTGGGAGGTTGAAAAGGGATTATTTGATAAAGGGTCCCCTGAACAAAATTCATGGCAAACATTTCCTGAGGAGAATCCCACAAACAACTCCAAATCTATTAGAACAAAAAACAATGGGCACCAGAACAAGCAAGTGACTGAGGGCGGCACCACCAGTTGGGGTTTTGAAAAAAAAAAAGACAAAACCATTAATGAATGAATTTGGCAACACCAAGACTTTTTTTTTTTTCTTCCAAATTTTCCCTCATGGGAAAAAGAAAGAAACAGGGTCTATGTTTTACCAGGTCTTTGAGAAGACTTCACTTCACTACCAGGTTTATTTGTACTACTGTCTTTGCTGCAATGAAACCGAAGAAGAAATATATTTTTTCTTAGTAAATGACCTAAATACCCTCAGAATCGTAAATCATAATAACAAGTAACAGACCTTGTAGGAGGCAATGCAGAGGTCTGGCCAGATGGCCTAGCATGATAAGCACCATCCATTGTGATATAAGGTGAACAATATGTTGCCCCTAAAGCTCTTGCTGCACCTAAAGCCCCAGCAGCACCAACCAAAACAGGTAGTCTACAACAAAATTTCACAATTTTATTCATTTACTCACCTTATTATTATTATCTTATATATATATATATATATATATATATATATATATATATATATATATATATATATTTAAAGTACCATGTCCTTTTTGAATTCCCCATTCCATTAGGCTGAGTAACATAGCTATGGAATGCCATGCCAACAGCAAAAACTCCAAGGCCGTCAGGATGCTGCCCCGCAAATTGCATAACTGCAAATTTAATAACAGATTAGACACCATAAAAATTTAACATTTTTTTAATGACTAAATAGTCCTTGGGTTTACATGGAAAAAATGTTGGAGCACCAGGGTAATTCTGATCACCATGATAAGAAAATGAGCTCATACCCATTCTCTGAAGACTGCATTTTCCAATTCCATTTCCATTTCCATTTCCAGTTCCATCCAATGTTGTTTTATAATTATCATTAGATTTTGTATGAGATTCCATTTATTCGGATTCTGTAGGAGCTCGTTGGAAAGAATGAACTTGATTTAATAGAATCCTTTTGTATACTATAAATTAAATTCATAATTAAGAACATAACATCATATATGAAGAAAAACTTTGACCTTACCTTCATCAATCGAGATAGGGATGGAAGCACATTGATAGGTGGGTAAATCTACCGATTTTCATCATACAAATTACAAACAAGTAATTTTTAATCTTAAAAAGCAAGTGCAGGAATAGAAAGTTAAGTTTAGAATCCGACCTGTCTGTTATGAAGCTGTCGGTCAACTGTTGAGATGTCCAACGACTAATTGAACGTTGTTGTGTTGTGCGACGAGGTCTTGACATTTTGTATAATGAGCTACGAGCTCCGATATAGCCTAGGCGACATTGCTTGCACTTTCATGGGACCTTCGTTGAGAATTTTAACAAACACTAAGCATACACTGGCGTGAATCATGTGTTCAACGCTCTCAGGATCACGACCTAGCAATCCGATTGCAGACACAACGTTCTCCTAACCTTTTTGTTTCCCTTCTTTCACCAATTTCAGCAACGAATTGACTCCGCCTTCTTCAATTATCATCTTCCCATATCAATAGTTGTCTCTCGCAAGTGAGACAAGCGACGCTGCCACGTCGGACCTGCCATCTAGGCTTCCGGTGTATAAAATCGTGATTTGCACCCAAATTAAACACAAAATAGGTTCATTATCAGCCATCGGAAAGAGATGATCCGAGGTCAGAGGTGAGTTGAGGTAGATTCGGTAGTGGTTGAGGCGGATTAAGGTTTACATAGAAAATGAAAATGAGAGAGTGAAGGTTGTTGGCTGGTGGCGTGCTTGCCTTGATCGACGTCGATGACCTGGAATGACAAGTAACGATGGTCAAAGTGCGAGGGAAGAAGTAGGCGGCAATCAATGTCCAATGTCGGGAAGGGGAAGGAGGGAGCGTTTGATAACTAGGGCAAGAGGGAAAGGAAGAAAAAGGAAGGCGGTGTTTTTAATTTTTCCGGATTTCATATCCCCCTAGCTATTAAAGTATGGAACACGCGTTTCCATTAAAATTTATAAAGCGACATCTTCAGACGACACACATTGTATTATAGGCGCCCTCCATGTTTTTTTTATTTACACACAAATTTAAGGGCACGCAAAAATGCGCGTCCTAAATCGTTAAAATTTATAGAGAGATGGCATTATATTTAGGTCACACACTTTTGCGAATCATAAATCGATGCGTATCATAAATTGCGCGTCGTAAAAGGCTGTTTTTCTAGTAGTGATTTGTTAGATCTAACTAGTGTTGGATGTTATAAGCTTTTTGTTATTTTAGTGCATAAAGTCTAGATCTTGAAAGTTTGTGACCTTCTTATGGATAAATTTGGAAACTTCATCCATCTAAATATAACATCCCAAAAATCACAATAAATTTGAACTTTAAAAAAAAACACATTTCACCCATAAAGTGTTTACAAAACAATTGTTTCAAAAGTATAATTCAAAATCAGAGTATTCCCAAGACCAATGACATGAAGTCTAAAGGATATGCATGATCATGCTTTTTCTTTTCCCGATCATCTAAAGTACCTGAATCCATAACAAACAAATGTAAGAACGAAGCTTAGCGAGTTCGACATATAATAGATAACAAATATACTCAATAGAAAGATAATCATGCTGACATAAATCATAGGTAGCCCTACAGATCTAACGGTCTATGCATTTCAATAACTATCATATAATCATATAGATCTACCCTATACTCATCTTATCATCAATCAAGATATACAGGATAACTATAAAATGGGGACAACCTTAGTGCCTTCGACCTACTAGTCAGTTGTGACATCCCCAAAATCACGGCCAGAAAAGACCGGTTTAATTTATGCTTTTAAAATGATTTCAGAGTAATCTTTTGATTAAAAGAGTTGCGGAATTTGTTCCCAAAAACAAAACGTGATAAAATAATATTTACCAAAGCATTTCTTAAAGAAATGTATTTTCATTATATAATCAAAACTCGGGATGTCATGTTCCGATACAGAACATAAATCATAAACGATAACGTTACAAGTCATTCAACAAATATATACATATACAAACTTGTAAACAAAACAACTTGATGATTCATCCATCTTATGCCCTTTCGCCACTTCCTGTAATACAAATAAATTGAGTGGGTCAGGCTTGGGAGCCTGGTGAGCATATAGGGTTTTCAACCCACAATAAATAATTATATTTGATTCCACGAACCAACAACAACCAATTTACCCATTCCCATTATTCTCACTTTACGTCCCTAAAATAACTAACACAAGGGACCTAGTCTAAGAATATTTCATCGGGGCGACAACACATGCATTCGAGGGTTTCCTGACAATATATGTCAAATAAGGCAACCATGAGGGGGATGGAGTACAGTGAATGAACACCCAAGTTCATTAACACCTACAGGTGGCGAACCTGCTAGCGTTCCACAGGACTGTCTAGAAAAGTCTGTGGTCGTCATCTAAACTCCGCTAGATGACTAAATAAAAAACAACATCGAGGCCTCTCATCTGTTTATCACACAACTATCTACCCATGTTCTACCCGACATATTAGTAGATAAAAATATATATTTTTGTACATAGTTTAAAACCTGTATAGCATTCTCATTCAATACATATTCCAAACAACAGATGAGACACATACACATAACACGTATTTCATAGAGAATAAATCATATCTATGAGATAGAAGAAAGTGAATATACATTCACACATATAACAACAAAATATACACATAACACACATTTCGTATAAAATACTTCTTCATCTGACGTCCGTTTTCGCCTATCTTTTTATCGTTTCAATACTATTAATGAGATCTTCGGTTCTCATTTAGATTGTTTTGGCTAAAAACTGCTCGGTCTCAAATCGAGTATTCGGGCTGCATACTACTAAGTCGAAACTTAGAAAAATCATAACTTCCTCATACGAAGTCAAAAATGGGCGTTCTTTCTATGCACGCTCGTGGTTTAACGAAATCTACGACTTTCGTTTAGATCACTAAGGCTAAATATCGCTCTAACGTAAATTTCACTTTTTACGTCATTCAACGTTGCCGATTCTGTCGAGAAACTTCGACATGTCATAACTTCTTTGTTATATCTCGGATTTCGGCATGCTTTATATCTTCAGAATCCTTGTTTCGACCACTACATCTTTATGAAAAGATATCGGGTTTATCTCACACTTCAAATTTGATGCTTATTTTATTCTTAATTCATTAAATTATAATAATTAAGAAAATAGACACATAATTCACATAATTCACATAATACTCAAATATTTCATCATTAATACTCTAAAAAGAGTTACAAGGGTTAACCTAGACTATTACATCAATGATAATACCTAGCCTTGAAATGCGGGCGTTACAATTCTCTCCCCCGTAGGATGATTCCGTCCTCGGAATCACACCTCAACAAACAAATGCGGATAGCAACTCAACATGTCACTCTCCGTTTCCCAAGTGAGATTTGGCCCATTCGAATGTTTCCAACGGACAAACACTAATTCGACCATCTTGCGTCGAAGCTTCTTAGTCTTTCGGTCAACAATTGCCTCTGGTTCTTCAATTAACCTCTTGTTTTCATCAATTCTCAATTCAGAAATTGGAATTATATCGGGAACTTCTCCCGTGAACTTCCTCAAATAACACACATGAAAAGTATTGTGAGTTCCATTCAGTTCTTCGGGTAATTCGAGCTTGTAAGCTTGGTTCCCAATTCTCTGAAGAACTTTAAACGGTCCAATAAACCTTGGACTCAAATTTCCCCTTTTACCAAATCTTATAAGTCCATTCCACAACGAGACGTCAAGCAAAACCAAATCTCCAACTTCAAAAGTCATCGACCTTCGCTTCTTGTCAGCATAGCTCTTTTGACGATCCTGAGCTGCTAACATTCTTTCTCTAATTAATTTCAACATTTCAGCGGTTTGATGGACCATCTCGGGACCTATAAACTGCTTTTCCCCAGCCTCAAGCCAATAAGACGGCGTACGACACTTCTGTCCGTACAAAGCTTGATAAGGTGCCATCTTTATGCTCGAGTGGAAACTATTATTGTAGGATAATTCTACCAAAGGTAAATGTTCATCCCAATTACCTTGGAAATCCAGGGTACATGCTCTCAGCATGTCTTCAAGTGTTTGTATTGTTCTTTCACTATGACCATCAGTCTGTGGATGGTAACCTGTACTTAAACACAACTTGGTACCCAATTCCTCTTGTAGACTTTTCCAAAATCGTGAGGGAAACGGCTGTCACAATCTGACACAATCGTTAACGGAACACCGTAAAGCCTCACAATTTCGTTCACGTAAGAATTCACAAGCTTTTCCATAGACCATTTCTCATTGGCTTCTATGAAATGCGCACTCTTAGTGATCGATCAACGACCACCCAAATCATGTCGTGACCAGTTTTTGTTCTGGGTAGTTTAGTGACAAAATCCATCGCAATGTCTTCCCATTTACCCATACGTACAGGTAAAGGTTCTAAACTCCCGTATGGTTTCTGATGTTGTTTCTTGACTCTCGCACAAGTCACACACTCGGCTACATACTTTGCAACATCAAGCTTCATCGTTGGCCACCGGTAGTAGAGTTTCAAGTCCCTATACATTTTAGTACTGTCAGGATGAAGTGAGTACATGGTTTTGTGAGTTCCTTCCATTAGAAGATCTCTAATTCCTCTGGACTTAGGTACCCAAATCTGATCTTGGAACACCTTTAGTACGTGACTGTTTATGCCGAACACTAACGTTTTACCCAAACGTTCCTCCTTTCGGTCATTATTCTCTAAAGCTTCTTCTTGAGCTTTCTTTATACTCTCCACAATTGTCGAGACAACTTCTATTCTCAATGCTCTTGGACTTTTTCTCTCAACATTGACTTTCCGACTAAGAGCATCAGCAACAACATTAGCCTTACCGGGGTGGTAAAGTATCTCACAGTCGTAGTCTTTGAGTAACTCTAGCCAGCGTCGTTGCCTCATATTTAACTCTTTCTGATTAAAGAGATATTGGAGACTCTTATGATCAGTGAAAAGTTTGCACTTCGTGCCATAGAGGTAATGCCTCCATATTTTCAGAGCGAAAACTACCGCTGCCAACTCCAAATCATGAGTCGGGTAATTCTTTTCATGCTCCTTCAGCTGTTGAGACGCATATGCTATCACCTTTTCTCTTTGGGTCAAAACACAACCCAATCCAACCCGAGATGCATTGCTATAGATAGCGAAGTCTTCAACTCCATCAGGTAGAGAAAGTATTGGTGCCTCACATAGTTTCTTCTTTAGC